GGAACTCCCTTGTTTTTTCCATGATCCAACGGATGTTGGCAATTTGATCTCTGGTTCCTCTGCCTCTTCTAAAACCAGCTTGAACATCTGGAAGTCACGGTTCACATACTGTTGAAAGCCTATCATACTCATTAATTTTTATCTTTGTTTTCTATATCCTCTCATTCCTAATAATGACAGATTAATAAGAGCTAAGGGCCATCCTGGTTTAGAAAATGAAACAGTATGATGCCATTGTGAAACAGAATGGGACAGCGAAGAGTCAGGACTAAAATTATGTGCCTCTGTGGACATGTGAGAAAGAAAGGGAAAGAACCACTCAGAACTTCCCAGAGCCCACTGTTCATGTCAAAGCTGCACCCTGCAGTGACTGATTCTCAAACTGTATCAGGCTAATTAAGAAAAATAAAAATATATTGGGTTAAAGTACTAAATAAGCTGCCTTTTCCCTCTCTTCCAAGCTAAATTTTGCTGATCAATTCTGAATCCTGGACAATTCTACCTTTTAATAAGGGGAACTGTCAAAAGATTTTCTAAGCAACTGAAAAAGCTTTCCTATCTTTATTGGGTTCAGCTAGTATATGTACTAACTGGACAATTGGAGATAGAACCCTGGAATACATATTAAAATATTCTTAAAAACAGGCACAGAACCTGTTCTTGGGGAATTTATACTGTTAGGCATGTAATCATTAGATGTGGTAAAATGATGACAGTCTTTTGAGGAGAAGAGGAGGCCTAAGGTTGTACTGGAGGGTCGAGGAGTATACTGACTTAACTCAGTGAGGCAGCAGGAGGAAGTGGAATGATTTGAACAGACTTACAGGCAGAAGACTGAAGATCCAGCTTTGAGTTTACTTGTAATTGTTACTTCTCTAGTAATTTATCTGTTTGCTATATTTGTGGGAATAGGTGGAAATTATTATTCTTTGGGTAGGTGAACAAAACATACATCTCCAAATATTGAGTTAAATGCCTGATGGCATTTTCCAATTCAGAAGTCTGATTTGTAACCTGCTGGTAAGGAGGTGTATTCATGTTTCTGGGTTGTAAGGAGCCCACTGTTATCCATTCATCTGTGTTCCCATTTATACTAGGCTGTGCTAACATTAGGTCTCTAGAGAAAGACTTAAGTAGACTTAAGGCCCTTTGAATTCCTATGGACTACCTCCTACTCCCATAGGACTTCAACAAACATAATGAACACTTAAAAAAAAAACTTTTATCTTTTTCATAGTATTGAGAGTAATAATATCTCATTTGGTCTCAAGTTCCATATTGGATTATTTTTTTAAACATTGCTTTTGAGCAGTAACTTTTCCCTGGTTGCTTAGCCAGTCATACAAGTTGAGACTTCTGTTTCTATGCCTGTTTTATAATAGCTGCTCTGGGAGAACAGATGAAAAATAATAAGTTAGATATTTTATGAGTATTGAAATCCCTTCCATTCAGAAATGTAAATAAAATAACCAGCATGAGCAATCAGCTTATGTCAGATTCCATGGGTTTATGTTACATAGGGAAATTATAGTGCAACCTGAAACACGCTTCTTAATGAATTCATAGTGGTGTCACAGTTGAATGTAAACCCTTTAGCTTTTCTATTGTGAAGAATTTCAGAAATCACCTTTTATAAACTGTTTAGGGGAGGAGGAAAAAACAAAGATGATACCAACAAATGCTATCACTGTTAAGTGGTTGCTTCCCTTCCAGCACTAAATTATGCCAGTTAAGTAAAGCAGAAACTTAATATATTGCTCACCTTTTGGCTTATTCAGTGTTCATAAATATCATATATATATATATATATATATATATATATACACACACACGTACACACAAATGTATATATGTATACACACACACATTTCAATATTATGTTTTTGAAAGTGGCACCAGAAAATGCTTTGGAAGAACAGGGTTGCCTTTGTGGTTTTTATCCTCAGAGTTTAGGAAAGTTCAGTTAAAAAATGGCAGAAACCCAGTAAATAGCTCTGTTTTTACCTTCAACAAGTGCAAGAAGCCAGAGACCTAATTTGAAGATTATGAAATGAGAATTTGTATCTTATCTTTGGTTGTTGCTCTAGCAGCCTGTTGCTGTCGTTGTCCAGTCTCTTAAGTTGTGTACGACTCTGTGACCCCATGGAATGCAGCATGCCAGGTTACTCTGTCCTCCACTGTTTTCTGGAGTTGGCTCAAATTCACGTCCATTGAAGCAGTGATGCCATACAACCGTCTCATCCTCTACCACCCCCTTCTTCTCCTGCTCTCAGTCTTTCCCAGCAACAGGGTCTTTTCCACTGAGTCAGCTCTTCTTATCAGGTGACCAAAGTATTGGATCTTCAGGATCAGCCCTTCCAATAAATATTCAGGGTTGATCTCCTTTAGGATTGACTGGTTTGATATCTTTGCAGTCCAAGGGACTCTCAAGAATCTTCTCTAGCACCACAGTTTGAAAGCCCCAGTTCTTCGGCGCTCAGCCTTCTTCATGGTTCAGCTCTCACCAGAACCGTCCTGTCACTCAGTGAATTGATTTTGTAGTCCCTAAAATTCTTTCCTAGCTCTCCTCCTTTTCACTGTGGCCTCAGCTCACTCAGCTTTGATGAGTGTGCTAGCCTCAAAAGCCCAATGTGCCAAATGTGGTATAGGAGACCAGTCAAGTTTAAGTTTGAGAGTCAGGGAAAGAAGCATGTATTTTCTATTTTTAAAGAACTTTTTTTTTTTACATTCTAATTTCATAAGTGTTTGACTTGATTTACACCAAGTTCTAGGCCTGTAAGCGGCACATTAATGCATCACAGTTCTAGATAGGATATTTGATAGCTCTTATTTAGCCTAGAATCTCAAATGATAGGGAGCTAGAGTGAACAATATTTAGCATTTTGTTGGGCTTCACAGTGTAGCTCTCTTCTAGTCCCTCTATATGTAACAAATGGACTCATCCTTGTGTTTTCCCATAGCTGCCCTGGTATTTACTGACATAGATCAAGATGCTGTGTGGCTCTGTAGGGAACTCTGAGCCATTTGACAGTCTGGGCACATGTAGTCACCTCACATTATTTAAGCCCTGATCTCAGCATTCTAATTTCTCTGTATTCCCCAGTGTATATAATATGTACTTGCTTGAAATTCCTTATATATTGCTTGCACATTCTTGCTTCTAAGTTTCAGCATAAACCAATTCCTTTTAGTTAGAATGCTTTCCTTTGTCTGTTCTCAACCAAAACATACTATATCTTTTAAAAATCCTGCTCAAAAGCCACCTCCTATAGAAAGTCAGATTAAATCTCATTCACCTGATTCTTTATTCTGAGAATTCTGTTTCTCAGTATGTTGCTTAAAACTGTTTTGTCCCTTTGTAGTTATTGATTCCATACATTGTCACCCAGTAAGCCTAATGGTTCTAGGAATGATGAGCCTCCTGCATCCCCATCCTTGTGTACCTTATATTAATACACAGAGACTTTAAAGGCCTACTGACAACCTTTCAATTTCCCCTGAGTTCTAGTCCACTTTCCATACCCTTTCCCTTTCTTCATAGTTACAGTCCTAGAGAAACAGGGCACATGTTCAGGGTTTGGCCTCCACTTTACCATGTGTGTGGCAACCTGTTGAATAGGTTCCTACAGTTGAGCAAGATTTAACCCTTTGGTTTGACAGTCCCTGCATTCTATTCAAACACATTCAAGAAGTAGATGTGACACCAGGAATAGAGAAATTTCCACTGAAAGCTCAGTTAGCTCTTTATACAAGACTTCTGAAGCTGCTGTCGTCAGCAGCTCACTCGACACTCTCCTGCTCTGCCTCTTTTCCAGGAGTCAGGGTTAGTTTAAGAAAAAGCCTCTTGCTAGAAGCCATGACCTCGTACTTTTATCCCCTCCATCTGGTGTGTGGCCTCATGGGGCTGTGCTGCTATGCAGGAGGTGAGCAATGGAATTCTTTAGATGATGACTTCTGAGCCCACATGCAGAGGCAGTGGGGGTGGGAAGCAGGGAGAACAGTGAGCGCCAAGATCGATGGACCGAAAAGTAAGGTTTGCCCTGGAAGGAATCCTAACTATAGGTAGATTGTTTTCATGAGGTGTTCTTCCCCTAGCTCAAGTGGGGCCCGGGTCAGGGAGCTGCAGCATCCCAGATCTATGATTGATGAATGTTGTGTTCCTGCAGTTTTCCCTTCTGCCTTCACAGTTGGGGTACAGGAGTGGGATAGGTAGGGTATGTAAGGGCTTATGCTGTCTCTAATGGAATGCATTCCAGGGTTGAATAGGGAAGGGTTCCTCTTGCACACATTATCTCTTAGAGCTGCTTTGTCTCACAGTCTCGGACCTAAACAAGTCTGATTTTGAATAAGTGTGGGAGGAGCAGTTGAGGGCAGCAAAAGTTTTTGATCAAGTGAAAATCTGTTTTCTGCCTCGTCTTTTAAGGGTTTCTCTGCAGGGTAGATACTCCTTGCCTTGGTATAGGTAAATAGCTTGTCTTGGTTCGAGGTCTCAGGAGTTTTACTAGGCTGTGAGTAGGCATCTGATCTGGGATAAGACCATTTGTGTGTGTGTGTGTGTGTGTGTGTGGTTTTTGTTTGTTTAGCACTCTCATTCCCTGTTCTTACTTACCTAAGCCCAGGAGTTAACAGTAGTTTAAAAAAGATTGAAGTCTCAAAGGAAATTCTAATACACACTTTAAAAGCCTAAAGCCTTAATAACTTCCTCTCATGGCTTCTCGTGACTGCTGCTCTGTCTACACATTTAGCATCTTTAAAAGGACTAGATTAAACTAAAACAAAAGATGAACTGTTAATCTGTAAAAGGAAAACAGAAAGAATTAGAAACCAGAGCTGATTATACATGGGCCGCTAAATGTAGTATAGTGGTCATTTGGTGGTGGTGGTGTTAGTGACAGAAATGGCAAAAAAGGGATTCATTGATGAGATTAAGGAAGGCCTAAGCTGTTGCTTTTGTAAATTCTGATCATGTATACGCTCCTAGGATAATTTTTGTCCTAAAGGTGCTGGGATTCTCCTGCCTCCAGCCTAGGCATCCTCAGTTTCTGAGCAGAACACATAAGATTTGAAGTTAGAAGCCCTCAATGTGAGTTCTTGCTGAGCCACTCAGTATCCACAGGACTTTGGACAAATCACAGAGCCTCTCTGAACAGCACCTGCACAATGAGCATAACTCCTATCACAGGGTTGGTGAGACAATTACATATAAGCAAAAGCGTTTATACATAAGAAACCTTTTTATAAACATCACAGTTATTCTTGGGGAAGCCCCACCTTGAAAGTTGTCAAAAAAGAACAGCTGTGGATTAAACTCTTTTTATTCAGTCAGTTGAGCTTTTTTGTTTGGTCAAGTCTGCTTACTGGGGTTGATGGGGTTGAAGTAAAGTCATCCTATTTCTGCTTGTTCTGGCCAAAGAAAGAGAACTCCAATGCCAAGCTGATCCATCTGTAGACTGGTAGGCAGAATGAAAGTGAGCAAACGCAAATTATAAGACAGAACGGTTCAGAGTTAGAGGACAAAAGGGAGAGTGCTTCCCTTGCTTTCTCAAATCCAGGATGACTAAAACATCTCAAGTAACAGGGATAACCACAGTGATGTTCAGAGATCATTTAAGCCATAAAAATGTGCTCAGTTGTGTCTGACTCTTTGTGACTTCATGGACTGTAGACCGATAGGCTCCTGTCCATGGGATTTCCCAGGCAAGGATACTGGAATGGGTTGCCGTTCCCTTTTCCAGGGGATCTTCCTGACCCAGGGATTGAACCCAAGTCTCCTGCATTGGCAGGCAGATTCTTTACCACTATGCCATCTGGGAGACCCTAAGCCATAAGTGAAAAGTGGGAAAACACACCTATAGACTCCCTCTCTTCTATCCCTTTGACCTTTGGGGGCAGGGACAGGAATATTACTGACACCTCACTGGCCTCTGCCTGAAACCAGCCAATCACTAGCTTCTGGGAAAGCTCAGTCTAGTGCAGCAACTGTGACATATTTACCCTAGTAAAGCCACAGCTTGCTCCCCTCTAGTGCCTTTCTCTTGTGGTAATCATCTCTGGAACCCAAAGTTATTCTGTTTTCTAATCCAGTAAGAATTAAAAACAATGACAACAAAAGCTCATGAGCAGCAGGCTTACTAATCATACCTCATGCAGTCATAGAAGACTGCCCTCTCATGCATAGCACAGAGGACACAAATTGCACTCTCTCAAGTGTGAAACAGCCATAGGAAGTTCTACAGTCTCAGGCACACTGCCTGGGTGGGAACTGTCCACTCTTGATCTCTTCTTTCCATGCCCTTTCTATATCCTTCCCCTGCCATCTCCCAGAGGGGTACCAGTCCCCAAACCAACAGCTGCTTGCATGTTGATAACTTTAAAATGTTCCTTGGTTACAGCTGAACACCCTGTTGTTATAATTTTTGACGTGTTTGATTGAAATCTAGTTGCCTTTTTTTTATTGTTGGGGAGAAGGAGGATGATGAAAACCCAAATGTAGCCTAAGAAAAGCTTTGTGTATGTGCTATATTTGTGCATATTTGTGTTTAAATACCTTCATGATTGTGCGCAGGCTGATACGGCAAAGAGAGAAAAGGAAACATCTCTTTTCTTGTTTTCCAACACTGCTTCAAAGACGCCCAACCCCCATAGTAGCAGGCAGTTCCCAAGTGGAGGGCGGAGGCAGAGAGCTCACCAAGGCCATCAATAACCAGGTGTGAGCTACAGGTCTCTGTGTAATGTGAAGCTCTCCCGTATTTCATTTCTGCACCCAGGGGGCAGCTCTGCAGGATTGCTTACGGAGAGCTCTGTGTCTGGCACCTCTCTCCACAAGGCCCAGGCGCCCAGGGTCCCACCGACCTGTCCAGGAATGTATTACATTGTTCACTAGTGCTGTAATTTGGCTGCAGGAGCTAGGCCTCCCAGGGATAAGAAACATACTCTCTCTGGCTTCCTCCCTTGGGCTTCTGCCCTATGACCACTGAGGGCATTTAAATAAAACCTCAGAAAGGCTGAGAAAAAAAAAAAATTCCTTGTTATCTTTCTTATAATAGGGTCCTGAGTGGGTCTGAGAATTTGGCGAAGAACTTAGTGGTTGATGTGCTTACTAAGGGGAGGTGAGAGAACTGAGAAGAAACTACTCTCTGTAACAGGGAGGAAGAGAAATGAGGCCGTGAGTGGTCATGAGTCAGACCTACAAGACTTGCAAGCAAATCCTCAGGGCCAGGATATGTTTGATTCTTTGAAATAATCTGAAGTCCCTGATTTCATTTTTATAGCATCACTCTCAATAAGAGTATGGATTCATGCTATTATTCAAGCCCAGCAATAATACACGTTGGCTTTTATCTGCAGGACTATGTTAAGGCTGGCATTCTTACTTTTACATAAGAGAAAGTGGCTTCAGGCTGTGCAAGTGAGGTGTTAAGTCATGTGCCTTCTCTAAAAGATTCTAAGATCCTTAAAGGATAATGTCTTTTAAGTTAACTTTGTATCCAAATAGCATTTTCTACAATGCATTATACCTAAATATTAAAAGCCGAAAGAAATGGAAGACCAACAGGAAGGAGTGAAAGACAGGAGGCAGGCTAAGAGACTGCTGATCTGAAGGACAGGCCCCTATTAAACAGAAGAGAGACGGGCAGGGGGTGGCAGTGGGGGACGGGATTAAAGGCAGTGAATAGTACCAGCAGGACTAATTGAGGCTCGGACTGCATCAAATAAAGTTCTCATTTTGCTGCTTGTTCCAAATAAATTTGTTTGTATAGTGCAGAATGAACGCCAGTTGTATAAAGCCAGTCAGAATGCAGAGTCAAGCTAAGGAATAAGAGGGAAAATTAATTGCTTGGCCATCATTCCTTTCTGGAGCCACATTAGCCTCTGTAATAGGGCTTACATGGGCCTTTCTCCCTCACTATCCACCTCACTTTTCAGCCCCCTCACTGTCTGGACAGCTTGCTCTTCTCAACCATTTATAGGAAATTGCAAAACTTGGTCTTTATGAACTAGAACTAGGAGCCCAGGGAAAAGCACATAGCAGTGCGAGACGCCAGAGAGGTCCACTTCCTTCCACAGGGTAAGAGCAAAGAGAGAATAAGGTAATAGAGCACAGGCAGATTTAGCTCAGATTGGTTTCCCATGGAAGGCCGAGGCTATCATTTATGTGGTAACCTGGATATTCTTATGAGAGCTGAAGCTGACTGGGACCTGAGAGCTCTTCCCAGTGGCCCAGCAGACCAGATGGCACCCCTTTATAATTCATTCAGCTCTGTCCTCGAGTCCTGCCTGTCTGTGACCCTTACCTTTCCACTACCTTAAAGCTTTCTTCCTCTTAATCCCAGCTCAAGATGTCAGAAACTCTTCTTTTCCCCTCCCTCTTCCCCCTCCCTAATCCCACCATTGGCTCATCAGTTATCCAGTTGACTCCATTCTGCAAGGAAGACATTCCCCTGGCCTGACTCACTCAGTCCTATTTCTCCACAGGAATCCCCTCACCACAGACCACAAGGGCCCTGACTAGCTCATGTTTTGTGTTAATGGATGTGAAACCGGAGCAAACCCCCTCACCAAAAGAAAAACCACCCTCAACTCTCCCACACAGGTCTCAGCAGGTTACACAAATATTAGTCCTATCATCCAAATAAATCTGCCCCCACGGCCCAGAGCTATGGCTCCCCCATCCTCTTGCTGCCTGTGCAGAGAAAGCTGCTCCACAAACATGTGAGGACCCCAAGGGGTGCCAGAGAGGAATTAAGGGAAAGGGGTGTGTGTGCACTGTATTCAGAATTCCCTGTGTAGTCTCCTTAATCTGCAGCCTGCTGTCAATACCTTACAGTCCTGAACTGAAGGTTCTGAGAAGTCAGGATGTGCTAGACCAATTAGGGGCTTTGGTAAGAGGGTCTATTGGCTGGATTTGGGGGAAGAATTAAAACTCAATATCTGAGATAAGTTTATACCCTCATTTTAGAGATAAGAAGATAGAGGCTCAGAGAATTTGGGATGCTTGCTCAAAATATCATAACTGGTACAGCTGAGATTTTAGCCTAGGTATGTCATAAGTGCAAATTTCTACACCACTCTGCTCCTTTAAAATACCAACAGGCAAGAGACAACCACTGTCCAAGTCACATAAAAATAGGACATCATGATTTTGGGGACTCTCTGTCCTACCCTCCTCTGGCTTACTAAGCCTGCTATCTCTGGAGATGCCACTTCGGCAAGCTTAGTTAGGCAGCGGGCAGTAGCTTAGAAGGAACTGTGCTATTTAAGCCAAATGTGGATTGAAGGATAATAATCACCAAGACTTGGAGAGTCACTAAATAAAGATTTGTTGAATAAATGAGGAAAGGCTGCTTTCTCAGCTATATACCCCTTTGGCCCCAAGCCTCAGCTCCCCTTCCCTCTGTAACCACTGGATTCTGCTCCCAGCTTCAAATGCTAGGATCCTCTCATAAAAATTGCCAAAGCCAGAGATCTTTACCTGCCTAGTATACACTGATGCCTCATGTGGCCCTTGAGATCAGTTTTGTTACCCTCTCTCACCCTCCATGAGTCACATATCTTTTACTTAAGAGTTTCCCAAACTTGGATGACCACGAGAATAATGCATGGAAAGTTTAAAAAAAAGTAAAAATCCCAAGAATAACCAAATTACTCCCTCTTAGGAGTGTTCTAGGGTGTTCTAATGACCTGTTAGGCTGACACTGCATGCCACTCAATTTACACAGGCAGCAAGGGAGCAAAAGAGGCAGTGCTGGCTGATACAGGTTGAAAAGGAGAGATTGGAAGAGAATGTATGTTTGTATAGTTGTATAATTTTTTTTTCTCCTACAAAACACAGCAGTTTACAAACATATGAGCATGAGAATGGAACCTTGTCCACTATGGCTAACTCATATCTAGCAATCCCAGGGTCTTGATAATGGAAGAATGTTGCAGAGTTTCTTTTGGGGTACCAGGCAGTTAGCTCACACTGACCCAGGGAAGAGATATGTGGTTTCATCTCTGTGCCATCTACCCTTGGCCAGGTAGGAAAAGAAGTTCTCTCCAGGTACCCTTTCTCTTGCACACACAA